TTACACAGTCAATTTAGATTCAATAATTTAATAACAATTATAATTTAGTTAATCGCATAGAATTATTAATTTAGATCCTTGAGTTTGTCAACATACGTCTAATCTAAATTTTATACACAAGTCGTGCTGTCCTGCAATGGGCAATATCAGCACCAGTACAGCTGTTATAACATAAGTATCTGTTTTAATATTTTAAAAAATGTAGCAATGCAATTCCTTTTTATTTTTATTAAAAAAAATGAAAAAAAAATATGATTTAAATATACTCTAAGAATGCGTCAATTATAAAATAAAATACCATGAAATGTTAGTTTTGACAGAGAGAAAGATGGTGATACTGATAAGAATGTTAATCGACACAATGCATTAAAAGAAACTAACTTCGTTCATTTGCACACGAGTAATATTGAACAATATTTACAAACAATGTAGTATACTAATCACAAAAATAACCGAGTTGCACAGTAAAAGTAGTCGAAGTCCGTGCGGGCCATTTAAAGATGACTTAAACGTATATTCGCGGCGAGTCATCGACGGTTGTGCGGCATTTGCTTGACTTTGTATAATGGTGTATCATAAGAAGTGTTAGTTAAACTAAAATATCAATATCTAAATTGCTGCCATTATCTTTGGAAATTATCTATCAATGTCGCGCGTTGTTTAAATATGTTAAAGCCATCATTATCGATGAAATAAGCATGATAGGTGCTGAATAGTTAATCAAAATAAACGAATGTCTGAAGCAAATCACAAGCAATTTCAAGGAAAATTTTGGAAGATTGGATGTTATTTTCATCGTTGACTTGCGTCAGATATCACCAGTTCGAGCGACCACCAGATTTTAAGCGCTGCCAGATAAAAGGTTATTTCAACAGCAAAAGATACTTATATTGGTTGCTTATCTGCAAATCAGGAAGCTCTCTTGTGGCAAAAGTCCATAATATGTTACTTATCGTTACAGGTGGGTTACCATATGAAACAATATTTGTCAAAAACATCCATTATTTGATAACAACCAATATTGACGTATCTGACGGTTTGGCAAATGATGCGGTGGGGAAGCTAGTCCATCTTGAATGAAATGAAGCAGGGTAAGTGACTGTTGTGTGGCTCGATTTTCCTTATTGTTCGAAAATCGGAAATAAAATTAGGAGATGTGTTACTGATCATATGATCGCAAATAACAATAACCGAACAGCAGTTCCAATCTCTAGATCATCTACCATAAATTTGAATAAAAAAATTTGAAAAAAAAAATGAAAATTTGAAACCATCTGTGTTAAGCGTTTTCACTTGCCTGTAATCTGTGCTTGTGAACGACTATTCATAAATCGCAAGGAAGCACGTATGCTAAAGTGGTGTATGAATACGACAAAAGACACGTGCAATCGTTGCTATATGTAGCTTTGTCACGAGTTACTGATCTTCGCGGACTGTTCATTATTACTAAAAATGATAAAGATTTGACGTTTTATCATGGAAGGTAAACATCTGATTCCACGAGGCGCCTTCGTGATGAATTTACAAGACTTTCCACTTGCACTTTAGTCACAATTGACAGACAAACAAACGATTTTATTAAGGACCAATTGGGAATGTCAATTTATGGTGGTCAATTTATAATTATACTTCTTTTCAATCACCTGTAGGACAACCTAGGTTAGATGCGACTGTACTATAGATTTATGCACGATAAGTTATGTTAGTGTCCTACACACCGATGGCCCGCACTGTCGCAGAGATCAGACTGGCTGATCGATAAATGGAGAGACACTTTGAAGAAATCTTATGATTAACTAAAATTCTAATTATGATATTATTGTATTATTACCTTGTCCAGCCAGGTTGTGGCCCTTCAATAAGTAATAGATACAATTCAATCAAATTAAGTACCTTAGAATGTCTAATGTATATTAAAAAATAATACTAATAAATAATGCGTTATAAATTATATAAGTGTCCTACACTCCGATTGCCCGCACTGTGGCAGAGATCAGACTAGCTAGTCGATAAGTGGAGAGACACTTTAGAGAATGCTTATAATTAGTTGGAGTATTAACTATGACATTATTGTGCCAGTACTCTGTCCAGCCAGGATGTGGCGCTTCAATAAGTAATAGAACACAATGCAATCTAGTCGTGTAACCTTTTAGTATGCTTATACATATATAAATATAAATTTAGATAAAAAGAAATAAATAAACACCAATATGTGTTATATGTGTTAGAATATTTATATCACCAAAAGTATTCGACCGAAAATAAGATGTATAATATTTTCAGTAATTACGAAAGAGGGTAAAAATAATGCAAATTTTATATAGAATTGTAACTAAGAATGAAACATAAACTCACGCACAATCACTTTTTGTATCTTGGTTGAGAATTCCAGAGAGCCGTAGAGATGCAGAGATAAAATGGCAAGGCGTCCCAGTGACCGCTAGAGGGATGTACAGAAACCGTACATAACCACCATAAGAGAAGCGAAGCCCGTAAAGGAACCACCGTAAGATAACGACCCGAATTTGGGGGAAAATCACCTTTTTGTAGCCCGCAAAACAGGTTTAGCGATCTCTGGTGAGATTCTTGAAATATTTTTTGCTGTGTTTGATTGGTTAATGTGATAGAATCTTTTACGTGGGCGTTTTATGGAATGCGTAAAAGGGTGGTTAAATCTTGTGTAAGGGTAATATTTTATTATTCATCTTATCCACGGGGAAACACTAATTTGGTATTATATTTTATTAAATATAAGTATTAATTATTACATGTATTAAAATGTGATACTACACTGAGAAAAAATTGTAAATGTCACAAAAAAAAATAATAATAACACATCATGGACACTTCGCATCGAAGCTAAAAATCTCCTAGTTGTACATTTTTAAAAAATTAGTAACTATGTAAAAATGGTACCCTAGTGCTCTTTCTTAATACACCAAAGAACTTTACTCTAATTTTTTAGAAACATATTCAAATAAGTTTGAGTACAACAATTTTTTAAATATTTTTTTGAATATTTTTACGTAAGAGTTGTACTTTTTCTTTTAGTTGATGTTTGTTTTAATAAAAAATACAAGTACAGAGGTAAATATTTTTTTCATAATAAGCTTGGTGTCAGGAACATTTCCAAAAATTAAGTTGAAAAAGTTCTACGTTCTAAACTAGAACGTAAAATATTTAGACCATCCTTGTATAAAATAAAATAGTCCAATTAAAAAAAAAACGTATATAATAAAAAGACTATATATTATGAATAATTTTTATATTTATAAATAATTGGTGGATTTCCATTTACGGGGAACATGGGAAATGTTTTCAATTTTTACAGATAATTTCTATAGTAAAAATAACTAATCATATAATCGCAGACTAACCTAATGCCTCCCTAATGTATCTCTTTAATAGTAATGTTTATTTTTTTTTTTCAAAAACTGAGCCAGGAGCAACTAATTATAGGTAAATTATTTTATATATANTAGGAGCAACTAATTATAGGTAAATTATTTTATATATAGAAATTTCATTTCCAAAAATAAAAATATCTCATTTGGAATATGCCTATGGTTAGTAATCAAAGAGATATTTCTTGTGAATTTCTCATTGGTGGTGTCTGGTCTCTGGTGCAAACCGGTCATAATACCCATTCTGTCTATCATTGGCCTATCCAAGAACTATCTTTGACTCCCTAACATATGAATGAGGGCTAACAACCACTTTCTGTGGTATGTTAGATAAAAAAATATAAAACTGATTATTTTGTTTTGTCAGTGATTAAATTAAGAATTACTACTTCAATTTTTGCTAAATGTAACGATAAAGTATCTGAACAAATTCTTATTGATTTATTATTTTTTTCCAATTAAAAAAATAAATTTCTACATAACGATATCTATCATTAAATCATTAATCCATTAAGAAATATGTTTTTGACTTAATAATAGCAATATTTTTTAGTCATTACTATGATAAAAAGTAAATACCAAATAATCAGAAAAAATAATATCAAGATATATGATAATTAATACAAGTAGAATTATTTATAAAATTATCAAAACATAATTATGTATTTTCAAAACAATAGAAATTTTTATCTTAAATTTGTTTATTTGAAAACCTAGCTTTAAAATATGTTTAGAATTATAACACTATTTTTTAGTAGGTATTGTATTACAAGCAGAATTAGTAACAAAATTTGTAAAATATATTAATGATAAATTATACACCTGTTTAAATTTTAAAGCCGTATTTCATTAAACAAGTTGGCATTTTATGCTATATTTTATTTTATTTAAAAATGAGTAAATAAAATGAATAGTTGAAACATATTTTTTTGAAAAAAATATGTTTGCTTTATCATATTTTATATTACTCAATGAAATTTTTATTTTATCAAATTTAAAATTATAAAATACAATTTTATTTTTAAACTAATTTAATTTATGTTATTCCACCAGTGTTTAAGTTTAGTTAAAATTTTATTAAATTTTTGAAACTGTAACATTAAAATAAACGAAGAGTTTCCATATTGATTTATTATTTTTTCAACTATTTAAAGAATAAATTTATATTTAACGGTACAAAGCTTTAAAAATTGTGATTTATATTAATAATAGCACCAATTATTAGTCATTACTGTTATAATAAAATGAAAATAACCACTAATTATAAATAAGTGTATTAAGAGGTATGATAATAGATATCAGTAGAATTACTAATACAATTTAAAACACATTTTAGTAATAAATTACACACTTGGTTAAATATTAAATTATTATTATCTTATTATTTCTTAAAAAATTGGTATTTTCAAACTAAATTCTATTTTATTTAAAAGATAGTAAATAAAATTTAGCTGCGATAGTAGTTTTTATTGACGTACAACTTAAGTAAACATACAATTAAATTTGATTAATACAATTATTATTTAAAATGACTACATATCAAATATATATTTTTCGAAAATAAATTTATGTGTTACGATATTTTAAATATTCAAAATAGAATAATTTGTTCTTTAAATCGGAAATAATTTTATAATAAAATTAATTGATTACGTTAACCTCATATTATTGAAGTTAAATAGTCAGTATTAGACTTTCATTACTGTTGCAACTAAAATCATCATTAAAAATGGGTTTCTATTTTTGTTCCGGAATATTCCTTTGTTTTATGTGTGTAATTACCTTACCCATATTTTCTACTGGAAAGCCCTGCCTTGACGAAGAAATGAGTTGCAACAAGTCAATTCAAGTACTTATAATTTTTTTTTTATACATTTATACCAATTATTATTGCTAATGTGGACTGTATTTTTCTTTTAACGAGAAGAAGGCTACCTAGGTCGATTAACTGTAAGTTAATTAAACGAATATTTGCTCTATGTGCATAGTGAGACATTTATTAGGACACTGGTTTTTTCTCCGCTGAAAAAAAACCGATCGTCTGCTTATCAAACAATAATAATAATAAACTATACAATAACGTAAGGTATGCAGCAACAATTATTATTTTACAATAATCATTGATAATCTCCTTATAACTTGTTGTAATTTCTTAGAACGTATAATTGTTATACATTGAAATTATTTAACTTACATAATATGTAAAAGTTCATATACTTTGATATCTTGTGAAAAATAAATCAGCGAAACCTTGAATACAACTCGGTCTTAATATAAAATTTTGTATAGTCAAATATGATAGTAATTACAGTTCTNAACTCGGTCTCAATATAAAATTTTGTATTGTCAAATATGATAGTAATTATAGTTCTAAATTTTTATTAACTTTTTAAAGTAGTTATTGTTCGATCCATTTTTTTTTTTTTTGTTTTCTTTTGTATGTTATTATGGTATATGATAAGCGCGTTTGTTCGGTGCGTACCGGTTTCTTTTATTGTATTAATAGTAGTCGAACGATGAACTTATCATCGTTAAGGACGGCACGACGCGCACGCCAACATGTGTATATAGAATAAAGTAATATAAACAAAGTTAAAAGTTTAAGTTTTATATCGTTCTTATTAGTTAAATAGTTAAAAGTAATCGTATTTATACAGTCCACTCTGAGACCAAAACAGTTATAATAACAATGAAACATGAATGCTTTTTAGATTATTGAACCATCAAAATATTTCAGAAAAGACGATATATTATGTGAGGTGAGTCGTTAAACATATTATAAAGAAATATTTTAGCTTCGATGCGAAGCTGAGAAGGTATTAATTTTACTATGATGTGTTTTTTTTGTGTCTGTATACGCTCAATCTCAGCTCTCACTGAACCTATTTTGATGAAAAATATGTCAAAAGATCACAAATCGTATCTAGTTGAAGAAATTACCTTCAAAAATTGAAAAAAAATCCCTCGTTCCCCGTAAACGGGAGAATACCCCAAAAAATTACAAATTTAAAAATCACTAATTTTCGATATTTTTTCATTTTTTTTACATAAAATTGCCCAAACTTTTTTAAAAATGACCAAATCAATATAATTTTTTTTTTATTGATACATTAAATATTTACCTATTATTTTATATATATTTGTGAACATTTGACCCTTTAACAGCCCACAGGAAGGGTTTCAAAATGGTAGCTTTTTTACAAAAAATTAACTTTTTCAACTTAACTTTTAAAAATGTTCCGGAAAGTCTGACACTTTTATATATATCTTAAATTAAAGCTAATGTAATCTACTTTATTATGTAAAAAAAAAAAATTTCGGACTTTATTTTGTCTTCACGGTGAAAATGGCTACCAAATCCTATTATTTTGTCAAAATTCTCAATTTTATTTTTTACATTTTTAACTTTATAATGTTATAACTTATTGAAAAGTGTATTGATCAATACAATTTTTTTATGAGAAATAATATTTTTTAATAATCTCTTTTTCATTCGACATACTTTATCTTAATCAGGATATTAATAAGGAACTAGCAGATCATGTAGCTTTTGAAATAATCCACCAATTTTTTAAAATTAAACACTATCTAAAGATTTGCATCGAAGCGTTTTATTTTGATAGTGATTTTAATCACTATCGGATATCATTATACTTGATCCAACTATGCCACGTCACCACTGTGCCGCGACCCCCCTGTTTTATTATAATCTTTAGTTACACATTATTCTTGAATTTTTAACTACGTAATACTTTTTAAGTTCATCCCTTATNTTATTATCTTTAGTTACACATTATTCTTGAATTTTTAACTACGTAATACTTTTTAAGTTCATCCCTTATGCCTTGGAAGGGGGTCAACATTGTTTTTTTAAATGGTAACATATATTTTTAATTTAATAATATGTTTGAGTTTTTAATTTAATAGTAAATGTCATTTGAATTTTTAATATAACTTGATTCGTTTATTTGATATAATAATTTAAAGTTTCAAATTTTTGAATTAATATACAAGTATAATACACAAGGAATTACAAATATAGGTAGCTTATTGGTTTTTTATAACATCAATATTAGCAGGTACACAGCATTGTTATTATCAATTGTAGTAAGGCACATATTTATGAGTTTATAAATACACTAACTGACAATACAGAAAGTATATCTATTGATAATCATAATTGATAATAAACAATCCGTGACTGAGACAGCAATGTCATAAAAATCCAATTAGCTACCTGTATTTACAATCCCATGTGTATTATACATGTATATTAACTCAAAATTTTGAAACTTTAAATGTTTATATCTAATAAGCTAATAAAGTTATATTAAAAATTCAAATGCCATTTACTATTAAATTAAAAACTCAAACATTTTATTAAATTAAAAATATGTGTTACCATTTAAAAAAACAAAGTTGACCCCCTTCCAAGGCATAAGGGATGAACTTAAAAAGTATTACATAGTTAAAAATTCAAGAATAATGTGTAACTAAAGATAATGAAAAAAAAAAATGTTTAAATTATTATTATTTTGCAAGTAATTGAGTGGGTTATGATAAAAAAATCACCCTGTATATATATATTTATATATTAAATTAAAGCTTATGTAATATACTTTAATTTAAAAAAAAAATTTGACCTCTGGATTTGTCTTCGTAGTGAAAACGGACATCAAAGTTAAAGAAAAATGTACGATTTCCGTGAAAAAATTCTCGATTTTATCTGTTATATTATTTAATTTATATTTTATATAACTTTTGGAAAAATGTATTATTATTTTTTTATAATAAATATTTATATACTCCTTTCATCTGGCACGCTTTTTTTGTAAATCAGATCAAAACATGCGTATTGTTACTAATATATTTTCAATTTAAATTTTGAAAGTATTCCAGAAATACTGACACTTTTATATATATATCTGAAATTAAAGCTTATGTAATATACTTAAATTTGAAAAAAATAATTTGACCTCTGAATTTATCTTCATGGTAAAAATGTAATATAATTACAAATTTTTTTGTAACATGTTGCTATACAGGGTGTTCAGTAAGTCAGGAAACGGGTTTTTATTGTTCTCATTGTTACAGGAAACCCGTTCCCTGACTTACTGAACACTCTGTATAAATCATTTCTAAAAAAAAAGATTGTTTTTTCTCCTGATTTAACAATTGATTTTTACAAATATTTTTTTTTTTTTTTTAACAAAATTTTAATTATTACGCTATCAGTTACAATATTGAACAATAAGCTTAAGTGATAACATAAAAAGAAAAAAGAAAAAACAGACAGAAGAGACTGAGTGAAGAGACCTCCCATCGGAGGTACTTCAACATGAATATTAATTTAAATTTAAGGTATTACTCCTAACATAATATTAATAATAGTGATAATAAGTTGGATTGATACATATACATATACATATACATTTTTTTTTTTTTTTTTTAAATTATAAAAGTAGGTCACGACACCACTGTCTTTTTAATCTTTTGTGGGGATTTCCTGGAATAGTTGCAGATGATAGTTGGACAATAAGGGGATTGGAATGATGTGTTAACTTGTTATTGAATCGTTTGTAGTGGAGTTTGGCTAGTTTAGTGACGGTGGGTAAATTGAAGTCGGAATGAAGGGTATCATTTGAAACATAGAAGGGAGCTTTGGAGATGACGCGAAGGACTTTGGATTGGAACCTTTGTATACGGTTTGTATTTGATACTTTGGCTGAGCCCCAGAGTTGCAAACCGTAGGACCAGATGGGCCTGAGTAGTAGTTTATATAGCAGTAATTTAGTAGGTAGTTTGATATTTTTAGAAGTTAGGAATGGCCGGAGAAGACGAAAACGATCGTTCAGCGTTCGAGTTTTATTTTTAATGTGAGCTGACCAGGTAAGTCGACGGTCGATGTTGACTCCAAGGTAGCGTACATTTTGGGCAGTGGGGAGGGGTTGGTTGTTAAGGAGGAGGGTCGGGCACACTCCTTGCCGAAGTGTAAAAGTACAATGGATCGATTTGGATTCATTCATTTTAACTCCCCATTCCTTGTACCAGGCTTGGAGAAGGTGAAGGTGGTCCTGAATATAGCTAGAGGCTAAATGAGGATCAGGGCTAGAGGCTAAGATAGCTTTATCGTCGGCAAAGTCACCGACAAGCGTATGGAGGGAAGAAGGTTGATCAGATATATATATGTTAAATAGGAGGGGAGCTGTGACCGCACCTTGAGGTACGCCTGCATTGATTAAAGTAGGAGCAGAAAAGGTGGAACCTACTCGCACTGAGAAGTGACGGTCTTCTAAATAGGATTTAAGGATTAAATAGTAGTGACTAGGGAGAAGAGTCTTAAGTTTATATAAAAGACCAGCATGCCATAAGCGGTCGAAGGCCTGAGAGACGTCCAGAAACGCACCAGTGCAATAAAGTTTTTCTTCCAAGGCATAGGATATTTTGTCTACCAATCTGTGCACTTGATGAACGGTGGAGTGGCTGTTGCGGAAGCCAAATTGAGGGTTAGGTAAAATATTTGCAGTGTCGACAATGGGTATGATACGTTTTAGTAGGAGTTTCTCGAATAACTTTGAAAGTATTGGGAGAAGACTGATTGGTCTATAAGAAGTCGGGGAGTCCGGGGGCTTTTTGGGTTTTAATATGAGAATTATAGTAGAGTATTTCCAGAGAATAGGGAAATAAGATAATCTGAGCATTGCATTGTAGATTTGTGTTAGGAATAAGATAGATTTTTTAGGTAAATTTTTGATTACTTCTGCAGTTATTAGATCAAATCCGGGGGATTTTTTTCCTGTGAGCTTTTTAATATTAAAGTAAACTTCACCAGGGGAGAAGGCTCTAAGAGGAGGGGACATCTGCAGTGGAGAGTTGATAAAGCTTTCAACTTCTTGGATTTTGCTGGGTGATAAAATGTTATAATGCGGTTGGAAGGTATTTTCTAGATGTTTCATAAATATGTTTGATTTATCCTGGTCAGAGACCGCCCAGGTACCATCGTCGTTACGTAGAGTAGGGGGTGGATTTTGAATACGTAAAAGTATTTTAACAATATAATCAAATTTTATTATACGTTCAATTGAGAAAATCTTTTTAACAACTTTGTTTTGATTGGTTCATTTAGTTAAAGTAAATCATTATAATTAATTAAGTTCTTAATATTTCAATTGTAGAATCTTTTCAAACAACAAAAGTTACTAGGAAATTATTACTATTACTTCTATTAAAGTTATCTATTACCATAAAAATGCAAAAATATATTGAGCTTTTCTGATAAATTTATAATAAGTAGTAATTATAAAACTTTCTGACTGCTTATTGATCTTAACGATACAATTTTTTAATTGTCATAAAATTTTCTATTTAATGATGTCAATGTCGAACTTGCTAATTGAACTAAAAGTTATGGTAAAATAAATTATTTTTTTTTATTATAAACATTTACAACAATCAACTTTAAACGATTAAAAAAATAGGTTAAATATGTCATTTTCTTTATTTTTAACATATTAATAATCAAAATCAGTATTAATTTAAAACAATTTTTTTTGTTCTTAATTATTTTTTAGCTTCGATGCGAAGTTGAGAATTTTTTATATGTAAATATTATTTTTTAATAATATTAAAACTTAAAAATGATAGAAATAGTCTAATTGCACATTTGAAAACATCACGAAATGTTGATTTAGAATATTATATTTTTGTTTCTGATGAAAGTTACTTGTAGTACAGTGTATAAAACTTATAACTTTGTTAACTGTTAAACTTTATCAAAAATGACCAAATCAGTATAATATTTTTTATATATAGATGCATGTCTTTCATTTTATTATATCTATCTTTTTTTTTTTTTATAAATCTAATATTTTACCTGCCCACAAGAGGGATTCAAAATAATAACTTTTTTTTTACTTAGAAATGATAATGTGATTTCTATTTAAGTGTTCTAATACGATAAAATGCATAAATTAATGAGTTTTTCTGATAAATATACTGTAAATAGTAATAATAAAATTTCCTGACTGCATATTAATCTTAAAAATAACATTGTTTTAATTCTCATAAAATTTTCTATTTAATGATTCATTCTAGTCAACGAAGGAGTAATTTTGGAGAATA